CACAGGCAGAGGGAGAAGCAGGCTCCATGCAGGGAGCCCGAAGCGGGACTCGATCCCAGGTCTCCAGGATCACACCCTGGGCTGCAGGCAGCGCTAAACCGCTGAGCCACCAGGGCTGCCCGACAATTTGCCTTTTAAAGCAGAGTTTAGACTCTTTGCATTTATTTTTTAAAAGATTTTATTTATTTATTCATGAGAGACAGAGAGAGAGAGAGAGAAAGGCAGAGACACAGGTAGAGGGAGAAGCAGGCTCCCCTGCAGGGAGCCCAATGTGGGACTCCATCCCATGACCCTGGGATCACGACCTGAGCCGAAGGCAGACGCTCAACCACTGAGCCACCCAGGCATCCCATAGACCATTTCCTTTTTTTTTTTTTTTTTTTTATGATAGGCACACAGTGAGAGAGAGAGGCAGAGACACAGGCAGAGGGAGAAGCAGGCTCCATACACCGGGAGCCCGACGTGGGACTCGATCCCGGGTCTCCAAGATTGCGCCCTGGGCCAAAGGCAGGCGCCAAACCGCTGCGCCACCCAGGGATCCCCCCATAGACCATTTCCATTTAATGTGACTATCAATATGTGTTTTATGTGAATTAGTCATACTGGATTTCTTGGTGTTTATCCTTTTTTGGGCTGGCTTTCTTTCTTGGACCTATGGGTTTATATTTTTTATTAATCTTAGAAAACTTTTGGTTATTATTTCTTTGTATTTTTAAAAATCTCCTTTCCTGTCTTTCTGGATTTGTGTTGCACATGTGTTAGATAACTATTGTCCTACAGGTTACAAGACTCTGCTCATTTTATTTTTAACTTTATTTCTCCCTGCACTTTGGTGTAGTTCATTCTTTTTTTTTTTAAGGTTTCATTTATTTATTTGAGAGAGAAAGAGCACAAGGGGGGGGGGCAAAGGGAGAGGGTCAAACAAGACTTCCTGTTGAGTGAGGAGCCCTAAGGAGGACTTGATCTCAGCACCCTGAGATTATGACCTAAGCCAGAATCAGACACTTAACCAACTGAGCTGCCCAGACTCCCATAGTTCATTTTTTGTATTGTTTCCTCATTACAGATCTTTTCTTCTGCAGTGCCTAAGTTGCATTCAAACCCATCCAGTGAAATTTTCATTTGGGATATTATATTTTACTATTCCACAAGTTTTATCTAATTCTTTCTATAGTTTCTTTTTATAATACTTTAATTACATTTGTGTTTTTCTTTAAATTCTTGACCACATTTATAGTAGCTGCTTTAAAGTTCCTACCTCTGGGGCACCTGGGAGGCTCAGTCAATTGAATGTCCAACTCTTGATTTCTACTCAGGTTGTGATCTTGGGGTCATGGTTTGAGGCCCATGTTGAGGCCTGTGTGGAGCTCTACAGGGGTTCTGCCCTGGGTGGAGAGTCTACTTGGGGTTCTCTCTCTTCCTTTCTCTCTGTCCCTCCCTGCCATAAGCTCTCTCTTTGTAAAACAAATAAATAAATCTTAAAAAAATAAAGTTCTGGAGATGCCTGGGTGGCTCAGCAGTTAAGCATCTACCTTCAGCTCAGGGCATGATCCTGGAGTCCTGGGATCGGGTCCCACGTCGGGCTCCCTGCATGAGGCCTGCTTCTCCCTCTGCCTATGTCTCTGCCTCTCTCTCTGTGTCTCTCATGAATAAATAAATAAAATCTTTTTTTTTATAAATTAATTTTTATTGGTGTTCAATTTACCAACATACAGAATAACACCCAGTGCTCATCCCGTCAAGTGTCCCCCTCCGTGCCCGTCACCCATTCACCCCCACCCCCCACCCTCCTCCCCTTCCACCACCCCTAGTTCATTTCCCAGAGTTAGAAGTCTTTTTAAAAAAATATAGTTCCCATCTATTAATTTTATCATCTTCACCATTTCTGGGCCTACTTCTATTGACTGATTTTTCTCCTGTTCATGGTTCACATTTTCCTACTTCTTTGCATATACAGTAATATTTTCATTGGATAATGGACATTGTGGGTAATTACTGGTTTGGTGCCAGGATTTCGTCTTTATTTACAGATTGTTAAGCTTCATTCAAGCAAGAAGTTAATTATTTGCAGATAAGCTTTCTCAGCTTTAAGTGGATAGAATAGGCGTTATTTACTCTTGGGTTAGTTTAGCCTTATTTCTAAAATGTGGCCTTTCTGAGCTCTCCCTGTTGAATCCTCCAGGTGTTTAGTAAGGTGTCTGCCTTCCAATTGGCCAGAATTTGAATGTTTCTAAACTTTATTCAAGCTCTAGTAGTTGTTCAGCTTATAGTTCCCCCAGTAGTTGTTATTTGACTAGCCTCATGAAATCTATCCTTAAGCCTACACCAGAGATTCATGGAGACCCTCATGCATGTTTCTGGAGTTCCTTTTCTGGTATCCTGCCCTGCAAATTTTACTTGCCTCAATGTCTCCTAATTCCAATTTCTCTCTCCTCATTTAGTAAGAGTAATATCTCTTTGGCCTTCTTCTATCCTGTGCTTAGGTACATACCTCCAGAAAGAAACCTGGGGAAACCTTTGGGCTCATCTTATTTGTTTTCCTTTTTTCCAGTATGTCTACTGTCCAATGTCTGAAAACACTTCTTTCATAGATTTGGTCCAGTTTTCTAATGTTTGTGATAGGAAGATTAGTCCGGTGTCAGTAATTTATGGCAGGATCACTCCTAATATTTTTAAAATGTAAACTTTCTGTTGAAAATTTACTGGAAAATTGCATAAATCGTAAGTGTACAGCTTGATGAATTTTCATTAATTGAACACACTGGTGTAATCAACACTCAGGTCAAGAACAACAGTATTAGAATTGCAGGAGGGATCCCTGGGTGGCGCGGCGGTTTGGCGCCTGCCTTTGGCCCAGGGCGCGATCCTGGAGACCCGGGATCGAGTCCCACGTCGGGCTCCCGGTGCATGGAGCCTGCTTCTCCCTCTGCCTGTGTCTCTGCCTCTCTCTCTCTCTGTGTGACTATCATAAATAAATAAAAATAAAAATAAAATAGAATTGCAGGAGCCCCCTGGTGGCCCTTTTTAAACATTAATACCACCTAAACATAACTGATATCCCAACTTCTACTATTATTTTTGTCTATTTTTGAATATTATGTAAGTAGAATCATATAATATATAATTTTTGTGTCTGACTTCTTTCATTCAATTTTAAGACTGTGAAATTTGTGTGTTACTGGTAAGTTGTTTGTTCTCTTTCCACTATGTGAATATTCTAAAATTTACTCATCCTCTTAACATTCTTAAACATGTCTTTTGGTGAAATATGAATATATTTCTGTTACATATATACTTACAAGTGGAATTGCTGGGTTATCCCACTTCAATAACTATCAAATTTATATAATTAGTCTAGACATCTCTTCTTAAGTCCGGCCTTACATCTTCAAATCTGTTTGACACCTTTGTTTACAAGCATCTCAAACTCATATCCAAAACCATTTGCTCCTCTTTTAATGTTCCCCGAATCAGTAAATGGCTTCTTAATCCATCTAGTTACTTAAGGAGTCATTCATTCTTTTTTTTAAAAAATATTTTATTTATTCATTCATGAAAGACATAGAGAGGCAGAGACATAGGCAGAGGGAGAAGCAGGCTCCCTGCAGGGAGCCCAATGTGGGACTGGATCCCGGGACTCCAGGATCACACCCTGAGCCAAAGGCAGATGCTCAACTGCTGAGCCATGCAGGCGTCCCTTAAGGAGTCATTCTTAATGCTCCTCTTTTCTTTACTCTTCCCAGAAAACCAATCCATTATTAAGTCCCTTGGATTCCACCTCTCATTTATACACGTCTTGAAATTATCCAACTCTCACTGTCTCTACTGCCATTATCCTAGTTCAAGCCACCGTCATCTCTGGCCTTGACTAATGTAACCACCTCCCACCTGGCCTTTCAGCAACCCCACTTGCCCTCTTCCATACTATTTCCCACAAATAGCCTGAGTGAGCTTTTAAATATGTAAATCAGATCCCGTTTAACATTCCCTATTAGCTGCCCATTAACCTTAGGATACATTCCAAAATACAGTCTAAAAGCCATTATGTGGCCAGTAAGAGCCTGCTCGGTCTGGCCTCGGTCTCATCTCAGCTGAAGCTTGCTCCCTACATCTCAACCACACTGACTTCCTTTCAGTTCCTAGAACACCCCAAGTTCTTTCATGCCCCAAAAACCTACAATTCTAATGTTTTCTTGGCTTGAACCATTCTTTAAGGCTCTTTCATATGCCTGATACTTAAAAGGCACTTCTTCAAACACTCTTCCCTGATAGTCCAGAATTAATCCATCATCACACCTACTAATTTTCCTTCATAGTACTGATTGCAATTTATAATTATGTAATGCTTTATGCTTTAACGTCTCTCGCTCCTGTTGCACTTTAGATTCCATCCAGTGTTACGTTCATTCCTGTAACCCGATGCCTGACACCGTGCTTGGCACGTGGTCCACAGTCATTAAGTGCTTATTTAATAATGTATGGCCCATGCAAAAGTTGGAAGGGGCTGCAGGGTCTGCATCTGGCATTTCTCTGCCGAGGTTAGGTGCTTCCTCTTGCGAGGTGATAGATGGGACAAGTCCTTTTTTTTTTCTTAGTTTCCCCCCTGCTCCTTGGATAAGTGTTTGCTGTAGGGCCGCGTGAGAGACAAACTGCCTCTAGATAAGAGGCAGCAGCAGGACCGATGAGCTTTATTCGTGAGAGACAGCATCAGCCGTCAGCTGAGCGCTTTGCAACCTCTCGGCGCAGGTGCGTGAAGAGCTGTCAGTCTTTTTGGGAAGGGGGCGGGGCGACTTCGGGCCCCCAGGAGGGGGCGGGTCAGCGTCGCCTCCCCGCAGAAGCTGATTGGCCTAGGCGAGGGGCCGGGGGCGGGGCCTGGTCCCGTCGGGCGCCAGCCACGTCGGACGCGGGGCCGCCCCGCAGGAAGGCCCCTCCCCGGCCCCACAATGCACTGCGGGCCGCGTCACTCGGAGCGGCGGGTCCCGGCTCGGCAGGTACGACCCGGGCGGTCCCGGCGCTCGGTCCTCCGCTCCGAGGGTCGCTGGGACCCCGGCAGGCGGCCCCTGGCTCTGCCTGCTGCCGCCGCGGCCTTCGCGACCACAGACCTTCCCCCCAGGCGGGGACCCAGCGCGTGCCGTGGGGGCGGGAGCCGGGTGGTTGGAGCCGCGGCGCTCGGGAGAGGTGGAGAGGTGCGATGCCGGGGGCTTCGTCCCCTGCGACGAGAGGGGGGCTGTGGGTCCGCGCGAACGGCGGCTGCCCCTGGGCTGACCTGCTTGGGTACATGGGGCACCCAGGCAGGGCGCTCCGGGAAGGAGAGTCGCTGTGGGCGCCCGGCGGCGGCGGCGGCGGGGGGCGGGGCGGGGACCGAGGGGGCGGGGCGGTGGGCGGGGCAACTGGTGTGGCGTAGTCCAGGGGGCGTGGCGGCGGGCGGGGGAATGTGTGTTGTGGCCGAGAGGGGGCGTGGTGGTGGGCGGGGCGGGGCCGGTGGGCGGGGCACTCCCTGGCCCCCAGTTGTTAGAAACACGGTAATCCCCTGAGGCTACTTAGGTGGCCCAGAGAGCTCGACCTGGCGTTTACTATTTTTTAAAGGCTAGGGTGGGATTTGAACCAGCGGCTTGCTTCGCGTTCTGTGGGGATTTAATTTGCATTGAGCCAGAGATCGGCCCTCGTTGGCCCAAGAGAAACGCCTGCCCTGCCTGCCCCTGGCAACTTTGGGAGAGATGTGGCCTTACAAGGAGACCTGAGCGCTTGGCTGGGCACGTGGAAGAGGGGCTCGGAAATAGGAGCCCCAGGGACTTGAATCTCTCTGCCCGCAAAAACAGCTTTGGACTTTTCTCTGCCTTAGTTTCCTGGATCGTCCGCTTGGGGGCAAGTTGGAGAGCTTGAGAAGCAGCCCCTCCTATGCCTAGACAGCCAAGGCAAAGCCCAGGGCTAGAGCGTCAGCCACCAGACGCGAGATGTTGTGATGCCAGCTAACAGGTGGAGCATCCACTTTTCTAAACTCTGAATTTGCTCACGTGCTGAGAGATTATAAGGAGTTGGGCAGTACTGGAAACAGTACCTATGCTTTCCGGTGTTGAAGGTTGTAGTTGAGCACTTGAATCCGACGTATGTGGCCATGCCCTAAATTAATGGGAAGCCTGGGCATTTCCTGTGTTGAAAACCGTGATAACAGTTTAGTGATTTGTGTGTGTGTGTGTGTGTGTGTGTGTGTGTGTGAATGAACTGATTTTTAAAAATCTACGTATATTTTATGTTGATGTTTATTTTTTAAAGATTTTATTTTATTTATTCACGAGAGATACAGAGAGAAGGGCAGAGACACAAGCAGAGGGAGAAGCAGGCTTCATGCAGGAAGCCCGACGTGGGATTTGATCCCGAGACTCCAGGATCAGGCCCCGGGCTGAAGGCAGGCGCTAAACCACTGAGCCACCCGGGCTGCCCTATATTGATGTTTAAAAGAAGCACAGGTCTTATCAAAGACTTGGCTCTGACTTTCCATATACTTGAGCAGGAAGCTTGGCTGTGTCGTGAGGCAGTGTTTGGTTGGGTTCACTGTTTGGTTAGAGTTCAGCCTGTCTGGAAGTCTGTCACTTACAAACGTTGGACTTGCCTAAATTCTTTTCTGAGCTTGAATTTCCTCAAAGGTAAAACAGAACTGATAATACCCATCTCACAGGTTATCAGAAGGCCTAAATGAGATAGTGTATAAAGTGCCTGGTAAATAGAGGGCAGTTAATGAATAATAATAATAATAATATTCTACTTTTAGTCCTACAGGGTGATGTTTCAGGTTCTTTATGTATCCCTATCAGATAGATACTATTAGTATCTTTCAAACAATCCTATGAGATACACACTAGTAGTGACCACAATTTACAGGTGAGGCAACTTGAGTGTAGAAAGTCAAAACTTGCTCACGTTTACAGTTAACACATGGTGGAGCCAGTTTTTGAACCCAGACACCTGTTCCATAGTCCATCATGTTAACTATTATGGAAAATATAAGGTGGTCTTAAGGAAAATATAAGGTGGTCTTTTATTATTTCAAAATTTGTGGCTAGATAGCTTCAATCACTGGGTTCTTGCCCCTTGTGGGTTTTAGGAGACTGATATAGCACAACGATTTGGAGACACAGAAAACTTAGGTATAAGCACCAGTTTGGGTATATATTTGCAGTGTGACATTGAGAAAGGGACCTTCAATTTCCTCATCTGTCAAATAGAGGTTATATTTCACTCACTGTTTGTAAACTGTAAGGTGCTGCACAACTGTTAGGGATTGACACATTTGTGCCTGTGTTGGGGGCCCTGTTCCTAGTTGTGGTTATAATCTACTCTGGAGCCTGAGGCTAGATGTACTGTGTAGTACAGGCACCTGTATTAGGAGTACTGAAGGCTGCTGGTAAGGTGCGGGGGTGGGTAGGCAAAACTGTAAAATAAATTCTGATTGTCTTTGGTACGCTTTCCCCTTTTCCTCTTCAAGCTCTGTTTTTCAAGTGTCTTTCTGTTAACCTGCGGCTGTACAGAGACCTTCCCTTTTCTCTCAGTCTTGCTCCCTCCCTGTGTATTACAATTAATATAGCTTTACCCCCAGTAACCCCCACTCCCAAGTCCCACAGATCTCAGCTGGCATTTTCTTTCTTTCTTCCTTTCTTCCTTCCTTCCTTTCTTTCCTTTCTTTTTTTTTTTTAAGGGTCAGCTGGCACTTTCAATAAAATAGGTACCAAGGTAGTGTTTCCCATGCAGAATACTTTGAGTGATAAGTAGATGAATATTTTCAACAATAATTTTCCAAAAAATTTAACACACATTTGGATGAAACAACAACAGGGACTCCTGGGTGGCTCAGTGGTTGAGTGTCTGCCTTGGGCTCAGGGCTGGTCCTGGGGTCCTGGGATGGAGTCCCACACTGGGCGCCCTGCAGGGAGCCTGCTTCTCCCTTTACCTGTGTCTCTGCCTTTCTCTCTCTGTCTCTCATGAATAAATGAATAACATCTTTAAAAATAAAAAAAGAAACAACAACAAAAATCTCTAATTAGGAGACAAACCTCAAAATTGATTTCACAGCTATTGCTAAGGATAGTCAATATCAATTGAATGGTCAATAAGTCAATTGAAAGACCTACATTAGGTAAATAATAATACAAGTGAGGTGTAGATATGGTAAGAATTCTGCAAATGGGGGCACCTGGGTTGCTCAGTCAGTTTATTTATTTATTTATTTTTAAAATATTTTTTAATTTATTTATTTATGATAGGCACACAGTGAGAGAGAGAGAGGCAGAGACACAGGCAGAGGGAGAAGCAGGCTCCATGCACCGGGAGCCCGACGTGGGATTCGATCCCGGGTCTCCAGGATCGCGTCCTGGGCCAAAGGCAGGCGCCAAACCGCTGCGCCACCCAGGGATCCCGCTCAGTCAGCTTAAACAGCTGACTCTTGTTTTGGCTCAGGTCATGATCTCAGGGTTGTGAGATTGAGCCTTGTGTCGGGCTCTATGCTGAGTATGGAGTCAGCGTGAGATTCTCTTTCTCCCTCTCCCCTCTGCTCATGTGTGCATGCTGTCTCTCTCTCTCTCTCTCTCAAATAAATAAAATCTTAAAAAAAAAAAATTCTGAAAATAGTACTTGGATAATTAAAGTTTGGGAAATAGCCAAAATAAGATATGAATGGTTAACCTGATATTAAATGTTTTTATCTCTTATGAAAGCATCTTGCTGGAAAGTAGATATAAAACATACCTTGTATGTTGGGTTTTGTTGATTTTTGAGAAAGTGCCTTCTTGGTGACTCATAGTCATTACCCCATGAGGTTCTGAAGAAGAGGTCAGCATCCTGTTATCCTAGGACTAAACAGTTGCTAACCACTGGCACAGTGGGAGTTTATTTTTCTCAGTTTCTACATAAATGTTTTCCCAGACCTATCTAGATTCTAATTTGGGCTTTTTCCTTTAGCAGTTGCTGTTGAAGAATGGGTATACAGGTCAGTACTCAGATTCCCTTTGAGTTTTCTGCTGTCTAAAGACATACTTTTTTTTTCGTGTTAATGGTGAGAGAAAATGGATCATGGCCTAAAAATGTATCGGTGGCCCTGATAAAACTATTGCTCCTGAATCTTCCCATGCAAATGTTAACCTCTTGATTTCCTCAGTTCCCATCAATTCTTCATTGGTTTTCCCAACCGCCACTGTGCCTTAGACCCTAAGGGTATTCTAACCTAGCTTGGCCCCTATGTGGAGGGATCCCTTTTTCTACTAGCATAGTCCAGATAAGATGGAGTGTTTTCTTTAAGGAACTGCATTAAGAATCCAAGGTAGAAAGAGAAAAGAGGGGAGGTAGTAGTTGATAGAGGAGAGATTGCTTATCCTAAAGTGGTTGAAATCCTCTACAAACCAGGCAAGCCTGACATTGTTCACGGGCAGTCATGACAGTTTCTTTTGCTAGTTTACTGGTTAGCATGTAAGGTCAAATGACTCTGGGAGGAAGAAGTTTAACTTTTTTTCCTCAGAGGAATCGTATCTACTGATAGAAGCAATTTTCTGACAACCTTTTAAGAATTTTGACAGGGAGTCTCAGTGCTGTGTTGTGCTTTTGGTTTCAAGCCTACGTGTATTGGGAATATCTGAAATGCAAGTTTGTCTAACAGTAGTTTTCCAGTTAAGTGGTGGGTGGCACAACTTGTGTTTGCTCTTTTCATCTGAATTTCCTTAATTCTGGATTGATGGTTCCTGATGGTAGGAACTAATGTCTGCCATAGTCCTAGACTATAGAACCTATTCAATAAATGTTTGTTAAATGAATGGAACTTACAGGTTGGCATTTGTTTCTTAGTATATGTTTTACAAAGTATGAATCATATCTTTCTGTTTTGAATTCATTAAAAAGAAAAGAGTAATTGAAGACTCCATAAAAATTGGCACTCTATAATAAATATTATTCCTAATATTTCTGTTGGGATCCTAGAAAGATCAGGCATAAAGGAATGCAGTCTACTTCTAAATACTAAGAATATGGGTGTTTGGAAACTATAGGTCACAACCTTGCCCTCATGTTAATTCCCAGAGTAATTGTGTTGCAGTAAACTTTAGGAAGAAAAAATTTTATATTTTAAATTTTATATTTTAAATTTATATTTAAATAATAAATGCCTAAGGATATGAAGTAAGACATTTTACTACTTCTTATCCTTAGGCTAAATCTCATAATTATGGTTTATTTTATTTATTTATTTATTCATGATAAACACAGAGAGTGCATGCGCAAGAGGCAGAGACACAGGCAGAGGGAGAAGCAGGCTCCATGCAGGGAGCCCAATGTGGGACTCAATCCCGGGACCCCAGGATCACGCCCTGGGCCGAAGGCAGGCGCCAAACTGCTGAGCCACCCAGGGATCCCCATAATTATGGTTTAATAATGAAATAAAACATAGAACAATTTTTAAGAGGAGTTTGTAGTTTATACATTATCTCTTGAAGGATCTCATCTTTTTCTTTACTGCTTTTAGAAGAGAAAAGAAACTTATTTAATAGGGGAAAAATGATTTGAATATGTCATATTGGAATGTTAGTTAGAAGATCCCATTATGGTTAAGGCTAATTTGATTGATGTGGGGTTTTTTCTGTTTAAGTGAATGGAGAAGAAAAATATTAAAGGGTAATGACATGTTAATACTTAGCTATTCCTCTCATTTCCTCATGAAAAGAGGAAAAGGGGGAGTAAATTTAACGCATTAACTTTGTTATATGGGTTAATTTTTTGTGTTAAGTCAGTTGCCATTGTAAATGGACAGTGAGGTTTCAACTTCACACGGCAACAAAAATGAGAAATTTTTTATGGTACTAATTTCCAGAGTCAGTACCAGTTGGTTTTCTGTGCCATATTTTGATATACATAACTAAGTTTTTCATTTTTGGAATGAAGTAATATTGAGCTATCTGAGAAGGACAAGTGAGGATTAATTTAGCTCTGAGATACAGTATCTTGAAAAAAGTCTATGAAATTGTTACCAAGTTTTTCAATTTTCACCATTTTCCCTACTTCTAGTGAAGCAGTATTTAGTGCGCTGTGCTCTGAAGGCCTCACAAGAAAGAGTTATCACTTAATTTCAGACTGAACATGTTTTAATTTAGTGTTTTTTAAAGTATGATCTGATCTGTAGGCACTAAGCATAGTAATTACCTGGGAATTTGTTAAAAATGGAAGATTCTCAAGCCCTACCTCAATGTCAGTGGATCAGAATTTGGGGATAGGGGGAGGTTCAGAAACCTGCATTTCTAACCAAGCTTCCAGTGCTTTTATTCAAGCTAAAATTTGAGCAACATTGAATAGTTTTTAGCAAAGTTTCTGTTTACCTAATTTCTTTCAGACCCAGCCTATGAAGTCCTTTTTATCTATCTCCATGAAGCTTGATCATAATATAATATAAGAGGCCATTATGTTTTATTTTCTGGTAAAGAAATTGAGAATGATATTAAAACCAGTATTCCTTTAGCTTTAAGGTTTATTATGAATACAATTTTTTGTTATTTAAAGATTTATTTATTTATTTTAGGGAGAGAGAGTGTGCGTAAGTTGGGGAAGGAGCAGAGGGAGAGAATCCCAAGCAGACTCCCTGCTGAGTGGGGAGCCTAACATAGGTCTTGATCGCAAGATCCTGAGATTATGACCTGAACTGAAGAGTTGGATACTTAATCAACTGAGCCACCCAGGCACCTCAATAAAATTTTTTTCCTGATTATAAAAATAATATATACCCATTGTGGAATATTATGAAAATTTAGGAAATATAACAATCCTCCATAATACTATTTTCTGGGGATAAGCATTATTATAATTTTGGCATATTTTCTTCTGGTATCTATTTCTCCATTTATCCCTCCCTTCTTCTTTTTGTCTTTATAGAAAACATTTGCGATTTTTATCCTGCGTTTTTTCCTAATTAATGTGTAAGCATTTTACCATATTACTGAACTCTTTTTCACAGACATCTGCATTATATTCCATCATAGGAGTATACTATTTTCACAGACATCTGCATTATATTCCATCATAGGAGTATACTATAATTTATTTAATACTCTGTTATTGTTGGATGTTTAGATTGGTTTTGGTTATTTCTGTGAAAGAATGTCTTTCTGTTTAAAATTTTGTCTGAAACTATTTCCATTAATGTAGGGCTATATATTTACATTATTATTGTGGTCAAAGGGCATAAGTACTTTTAAACTCTATTGAATATTGCAAGATTATTTTGAGAAGATATTTATTCCAATATTTACTCCTGCAGATACCTTTAAGAATGCCAGAAAGAAGCAAGTATCATTTTTTTTAATTTTTAAAAAAGGTTTTTTTTTTCATTTGTTTTAGAGAGAGAGCCCATGTACTGGAGGAGGAGTGGTGGGGTAGAAGAGGGACAAGCACTCCAACTTGAGTGCAGAGCCTGACTTAGGACTGGATCTCATGACCCTGAGATCGTGAACTGAGCTGAAATCAAGAGTGGGTAGCTCAACTGACTGAGCCCCCAGGTGCCCCAACAAGTATTATTTTTTAAAAGCTAACTTGTTAAGGAAAATGTAGTATGTTAGTGCTTTAATTAGTGAACCTTTGATTATTAGTGAATTGAACATTTTTACACCATTTATCAGGTTTGACTTTAATTTTTTATCTAACTCAAATTGTTCATCTTGTTTTAGGTCTTCTCTGCTGGTTGAAATGTCTATGATTTTATCTGCATCAGTCATTCGCGTCAGAGATGGACTCCCCCTTTCTGCTTCTACTGACTATGAACAAGGCACAGGCGTGCAGGAGTGCAGAAAGTATTTTAAAATGCTCTCAAAGAAACTTGCTCAGCTTCCTGATAGATGTACACTGAAAACTGGACATTATAACATTAAGTAAGACTTGAGTTTGCACCATTAGAATAATTTACTCAGTGTTTGCCATTTGCATGAAATATAAAAGTGGTTGTAGTAAAAAGTAGTGATTGGTTAGTTTAGGAAAAGTGTTCAAATCAATAATCATGTGGTTCTCAATTTATACTAAACAGTAGTCATCATATTATTGCCCTTTTTGCAGCTTCTCTGTGTTTATATCTGGCTTTAGAAATTTTTATACTTTTGCAGATCACGGATATTCTATAAGTTGGTCATTAGGTATTTATTACTTAGTGTTCTTACATGTCCAGGCAAACTGTGTAGGAAAATATAAAAATTGTGCATGATACCTGCCCTCAAAGAACTTAAATTTGTATTCTAGTGAGAGAGGATACCACTCATTTCTATTTATTGCACATGAAAGTAACACTGGGCTATGGGATAGAGTGACTTTATAGTAGTACAAGGCCTCCCTGAAAGGGTGATATTTGAGCAGAGACCTAAGAGATGTGAAGGATGCTGTGGATGAAGAGTAAGGCAGAGTGACAGCCAGTGCATAAGGCCTGTGATACTGATCAAAGGATGGAAGGAAAACCAGAGATGCTGAAGCAATATGGACAATTAATAAAGTGGCAGAAGGTGAGATCAGAAAGTTAGGAATGGGACAGGTTATATAGAGCCTTCTGGGCTGGGATAGGAGTTTGGATTGAGTCTAATGTGATGGAAAGCCAGCGAAGAGTTTTAAGCTAGAGAGCTATATAATGTGATTTTTGGCTTTGAGTAAATCATCCTGGCTGCTGTATGAAGAATGTGCTCTAAGGGAGAAAGAGTAGAAGCAGAAAGATCATTTAGGAGACTCTTAAAGAAGTTCAGGTAGAGGTGATGTTTATAACTTGAATGAGAGTGATAATGATGAGAAGTGGTTCTATTTGGGCTGTATTTTGGGAGTAGCACCAACAAATCTTCCTAATGGATTCTAGTGGGTTGTGAGGGAAAGAGAATAATTGAGTCCCCCCTAGATTTTTGGCCTAGAGGATGCCCATAATTACTTGGCTAATGGGGCTGCAATGAGTAATATTGGAGGATGTGTGTTTCAAAAATCAAGAGTTTTGTTTGAACATATTAAGTCTAAGATGTCCATTAGACATTCAGGAAGATCTGTCAGGTAGGAAGCTGGGTGTGTAAGTCTGAAGTTCAGTGAAGAAGGACAAGTATGGAGATTTAGATTTGGGGGTCAACTTACAGTGTATAATTAAAACTGGGCATAGATAAGACCCCCTTGGAGAGCATCCACATGACACAGAGGACAATTAACTCTTGAGCAGTTTGATACAGAATTTGCATACAGAAGGATATCAGATAAGGACAAGGTCCATTATATCAAGGTCCTTGATATAATTAGCAGAGGGCTTAGGTATTGAGATGACACATGAGTCATGTCCTGAAGAATTAAGATTTGGCCAAGACAGAGAAGAGGGCGTTCTAGGTGTAGAGAGGAGAGGCGGAATAAGTAAAGAATGACTTAGCCTTAGGGGTGTATTCACCTGTTTGGCCTGGTGTAGTGGATGGTGATTTAGGGATAGTTATGGGAAATGTGAGATAATTAGTGTGGGGCCAGATCCAGGATTTCCTTGCAAGTTCAGACTGAGGGATAGGAAGCTGTTACTGCAGGTTTGAGGGAAGTGACTTGATTAAAACAAAACAAAACAAAAAACCCCCAAAAAACAAAAGCAATGCTGAGGCAGTGGAATGTAAGGTGAAATGGAAACTCTGAGAAGAGAGAGATTAACCTATAATTAGGGCCTGACCTAGTAAGATGTAAGTGCAAATGAAAAAGAGAATGCCAGTTACAAAGACACTTCAAAAAGAAATGATTAAGCCTGATAAGATGGAGAGCCAGAAAGGAAGAGCTGGAATACAAAGATGACTGAAGCCGTGGAGTTGGACAGAATGAGCTCTTTGGAAAGGGTTGCTTACTCTGAGGGTGAGGAAGAAGAGGAGGGTAACTAAACACTACTTTTGAGTATTTTACTTGAGGTTTTGACTAGGAAGTCCAGTTGAGATGGGATAGAGATCTTGAAATTGCTCACATGAAGTTGAAACTGTGAGGGTAGAAATGCCCACTGAGTTTCTGAGAGGCCCAGAATAGAACCTTAGAGAATGTCTATAATTACTTAGATCAATTAGGTAATGGTAAGATAATGAGCTTTTATCTTAAACTGGGTTTTCAAAGGATTTTACTGGAAAATGTAGTGGTGGTTGATGGTTAAAATACATCTAAAATGATGTCTAATCTATTTCTGTTTTATGGAGAAAAACTTGAAACCTTTTAATATTCTATTTAATAGGCTCTTTTAGTACCCTTGGTCATTATTCTGAGTTTCAATTGATATTGTATAGGACTATAGACCTATATCAGAGTGATGGAAGATTGTTTGAACATATGTTAATTCTGACAGATATCCTAGACTTGAAGAACAACTTTTTTTGCAAATGTTTTTCCTCCTTTATTTTATTCTCTTAAAAGCAGAGTATCATGTAGTAAAAATTTAATACCCCTTCCAATTCTGTTTGTTTTGAATTCTAGATTTTGTGTTATTTCTTTGTATTCCTTCTTATTCCACAAAAGATGTGAGGTAGTTTACAAAATAATTCAAGAGCACAGAAGAGAGTATCACATAAAGGGATAAAGATAGGAGAATCATAAACTGAAATAACATTTCCTTCTGGAGATGGAAACTACTTAATCTAGTCATTTGTTGGAAAAGGACTGCAAATATTTCTCTGAGCTTCCTCATGACCCAAAGGAGGATAATGAATCATTTACAGGATTCAGTGTCCATTGAATAAAAACATTGCTCTTCACGTTCCTGAGACCTGATGTACGTTAAGAGGGACAGCATTTGAATAGCATTTTTCCAGCAGCCATAACGATGAGCTATTTATGATCTTTCTTGTAAAATTCCTTAGTGTAAGCAAATGACACAATTCAAAAAGCAATTTTATGAGAGAGTTTAGGAGTGAGATGAATCAGCAGCGGTCTAATCTGGCCTGACCTAAGAATACAATTTAGAAATGTCTAAAGGAATAAATAGATTACATGGCCTTTAGAACCACACATAGAAAAGCCTCTATGCATGTTATTTTTGTAACCAAGTTTTTAAAAGGGATTGAATGGAGAAATTTTAGTTCTAGTTCCTGACAAGAACCTGGGTTTTATGTTTTCTATCATTGATTAGAGGACTTGATTATTTTCTAGTTTATAGAGGTTTCCATGCTGTATGACATTACATTTAGACTAATTATAAAGTCACTGTAAAATTGAGAGTTTATATGTTACCTGAGTTAAAGTTCCCTTGTGACACCTCTTTTTCTGTCCATGAGCTTGCCAGATAAAACTCACAGATCTGCAGTTATAACATGGCACAGCCCAGAACTGGCACAGGCTGCCCATCTGCCTTGTTGCCTGGCTTATAGCCTTCTTTTGAATCACCTTCTTCTTGCTACTACTATTTCATTTCTCTCATGATCTCACTCCTTACACAGATTGCCTGTAGAACTTGACTTTTTTTTTTAATCATTTATATTTTTCTTATTTTAAATTTATTTTTAAGTTTTTATAATTTTTCTATATAGTTAGATAACTTACAGAGATCATTATCTGTTCTAGCTTATAAATGATTCCTCGTCTTTTAACATTGTGGCTTTCAAATACGTATAAAAATTGAGGTTGTCTTTGCGGAATACCAGTGAGAACCAAAACAAAGTTAAGTATGTAATTATATGCTAAATCAAATGGTACCTCACGCTGGAGTCTAGGTGAATAGGTAGAGGAAGACCATAGAGTTTGAGGAGAAGAATTAGGGTAACATTTTAAAATTAAGAAAATTCCAGGGCGCCTGGGTGGCATCTGCCTCTTGATTTCAGCTCAGGCCATGATCTCATGGGTTGTGGGATCAAGCCCCACATTGTTTGAGTCTCTTCCTCTGCCCCCCACTCATGCTCTCTCCAATAAGTGAATCTTTAAAAAATATTTTTAAAGGTAGAAAAAAATTAAGAAAATTCCTTTAATCCCTCCTCCCCACAATGTGTTGGGAGAATAATGAACATCAGATTGTAGTGGCTGAGTAGTGAGTTCAGCTAATGGAGCCCATTCTGTGCAGCTCAGGCTGGCACAATGCCTTGCACATAGGTTACTAACTGCTAAATGAGGGATGATTGTTTTGGGGGTATGGCAATGTTCAGAGTTGCCATGGAGTTAAGTCTTCACTTTCTCCAAAATACTTCAGTTTGGCTTGTTGATTGGTGGCTGGTTGGAGGATGCATAATCTAGTTTTGTGATTTCTTCTCATTTTACAGTTGAATCCTTGAATGACATGGGTTTGAACTGCACGAGTCCATTTATAAGCCAATACTTTTCATAAATACAGTACTGTAAATGTTATTTTTAAATAGCATTTTCCTTTATCTTCATTGTATGAATACAGCATATAATATAACAAAATGTGTGTTAATTGTGTTTTGGTAAGGCTTTCAGTCATCAGTAGGGTATTAGTAGTCAAGTTTTTGGGGAGTCTAAAGGTATGCTGATTTTTGACTGTGCAGGATATTGACATCCCTAACCCTAGCATTGTTTAAGGGTCACCTGTACATAGTGATGCTATAGTTCTCTCTGTGTAAAAGTTTAAAGAATTTATCTGTTTCATAGTTGAAGGATACTTTCCTTAAATTGTCATAAATGTTTAATATATAAACCTATGTCAAAACTTAGGAAACACAATGGCTAAAGCAATAATTATGAATCATATGAAATTAAGTTGTGTCATATGAAATCTTAAAATTTTGAGATTGGTTTTGGAGATTTGGGAATCATAGTGGGACATTTTGAGATCTCTTTAAACATTGAGATACCGATCTTATGAAAATACAAACGTCTTTGGGAAGCCAGTCATACTCTGTTGTGAATTTTAATGCAAGAAATAAAATTTCTTAATTTTCCCACTGAATTCTTCTGAAGTCTG